CATTCTATAATTATTATAAGCAAAATCAGGAGGAGGGTATGTACTTAGTCTATGTCTCTGCTGCAGGCGAGCTGGTGAAAATGCCGCCAGAGATAGAGGGAGTAGTTGCTAAGTACCCTGATCTATTTGAAGAGCCGACAGGAGTTGTTGAGAGGGAGGTCGTCCACGCGATAGAGATTATCCCAGGGTCTAGTATTCCAAGGGGTAGGATCTATCGGATGTCACCAGGCGAGCTTGATGATCTTCGCCGCCAACTCAAGGAACCCGTAGAGAAGGGTTGGATCCGGCCGAGTGTCTCTCCTTATGGGTCTCCAGTTTTATTCGTGCCTAAGAAGGAGGGAACTCTAAGGATGTGCATTGACTATAGGGGCCTCAATGCCATCACGGTGAAGAACAGAGAGCCCCTACCGCGCATCGATGATCTGTTAGATAGAGTGCAAGGGTGTCGGTACTTCAATAAAATAGATCTGAAGTCCGGGTACCATCAGATTGCAATCCGGCCCGAGGATCAACTCAAAACCGCATTTCAGACCAGGTACGGTCTATACGAGTTTGTGGTGATGCCTTTTGGTCTTTGCAATGCTCCTGGCACCTTTCAGCACGCTATGAATCGAATATTCCATGACTACTTGGATAAGTTTGTCGTCGTGTACCTCGATGACATACTTATTTTTAGTAAGACTGTCGAGGAACACGTAGCACACTTAGACAAAGTTCTCAGTCTCCTGCGACAACACCAGTTCAAGATCAACGGTGAAAAGTGCGAGTTTGGCCGCACCCGTATCTTGTACTTAGGTCATGAGATCTCCGCGGAAGGGTTGAAGCCCGATGACGCGAAGGTGGTCAGCATTCGTGATTGGCCACGTCCTCAGTCTGTGACTGAGATGAGATCTTTCTTAGGAATGACAGGCTACTATAGGACTTTCGTTAAAACCTATAGCATTGTGGCCGCTCCTTTGACCGATCTGACCCGCCTTGACACCCCTTGGGAGTGGACAGATGAGTGCGAGGCTGCTTTCARACATCTGAAGCATGCATTGACGCACTATGAAGTCTTGAAGCTACCTGATCCTGATAAGCCATTTATATCAACCACGGATGCTAGCCAATATGGCATTGGCGCCGTGCTTGCGCAGCAGGAGGGGCCAAAGTTGAGGCCAGTAGAGTACATGTCCAAGAAAATGTCGTCTCAGAAGTTGGCTAAGTCCACTTATGAGAAGGAACTCTGTGCGGTGTACAAGGCTCTCACCCATTGGAGACACTACCTCCTTGGGCGGTTCTTCATCCTCTGGACTGATCATCAGACCCTGAGATGGATGAGAACACAGCCGGTACTCTCTGACGCTCTCAAGCGTTGGATCGAAGTCATTGAGCAATATGACTTTGACCCTAAGTATCTCAAAGGGGAGTACAACAAGGTTGCGGATGCCTTGTCGCGCAGACCGGACTTTTCAGGTGCGCTGATTACTGAGTTCGACCTGACGGACGATGTTACTCAATCTTTGGCAGAAGCCTATCGTCAGGACCAGTTTATGTCTGAGATCATACGCAGACTTGAGGCGAAGGATAAAAAGACCTCCGCCGAGTTTGAGTTGGTCAATGGATTGCTGTTCCTAGAGAAGGCAGGGAATAAACGCTTGTGCGTTCCAAATAGCGAGTCTTTGCGTAGTTTGTTTTTAGGAGAGTGTCATGATGCCACCGGCCATTTTGGGTACAAGAAGACCGCAGCCAACTTGTTGCAGCGGTTCTGGTGGCCAACGATGATGAAAGATGCACAGCTGTACGTGGAAACTTGTCAAGTATGCCAGAGAAACAAGCCCCGTACTCAGGCTCCTCTTGGGCTGCTYAAGCCCCTTCCGATTCCGGAAAGGCCGGGTGAAAGTTTATCCATGGACTTCATGGATACGCTGGTCACCAGCAAGAGTGGGATGAGACAGACCTTTGTCATCGTGGATAGGTTTAGTAAGTTTGYTAGATTAATAGCTATGCCAGAAACAGCAAAGACCGAATACGTGATCAGGCTATTTAAAGAAAACTGGGTTAGAGACTTTGGACTGCCGAAGTCTATAGTCAGTGACAGGGACGTCAGGTTCACGAGTGAATTATGGAAGGCCGCTGCAGCTGAACAAGGAACTCGACTGCAGATGACCTCTGGAAATCATCCAGAAGCTAATGGCCAGGCTGAACAAATGAACCGCGCTGTGCAACACCTGTTCAGGCACTACATCAAGCCCAATCAGGTAGACTGGGACGAAAAGCTTGCTCTAGTCGCTAGTCTATATAACAACGCTGTGCACAGTGCTACCGGGACGAGTCCTAACAGTCTACAACTGACATTCAAGCCTAGACTGCCCTTAGATTTCCTACTTCCAGACAACCAGCCAACTGCTACACCGGGCACTCTGGAGTTCGCCTATAGATATGAACAGAAGATGCAGGAGGCTGTAGAACACATGCAGAAG